CATTACTTCAATTTAATCTATCGTGGATAATTTTGGAAGGAAATTGTCATGCTAGACAATCTCCCTATTGACACCGTTTGGTGTCAATTTCAAGCAACGGGCTGCCCCGTTACACTAAAGGTCGAATTTTCAACACAATCAACATCTATACATGTGCCCTTCACCACCGATCACGTGTTAATATGCTTTGGAACGGCTGCTCCAAGCCAATGTATTTAAAGAATGACGCGTTTTAGGCAGGTACCGACTCAAGAGTCATGAACGGCCCAAAGTCGATAAGCTTATCCGGAGAATTAACAACGGGAAGCTATTGCAGCAACAGCGACAGTGACAGCAGTCATCAGTCGAGTGGAGGTGGTGGTACGCGACGTGTGCAAGGCAATCAAACTGGTATGGATGAAAGGCAAAGCGTGGACCAGTCCAGTGTTCGAGGGTCATCGCAATCATCCTCGTGTGAATCCGAGGCTTCCTCGAATGAGGCAGAAGTTCTTTTCCCGTTTGTCTGCCAAAGTCGTTTCGTGAACGAGTTTGAAGAGCTGTCAGCAATTGGCAAGGGTGGCTTTGGTCAAGTTACACTCGCCGAGAAACGCTTGGATGAACGAAGGTATGCGATCAAACGGGTTGGTCTTAACTTGATGAACCAGACATCCAAGACTTTGCAGAAGTTTTTACGTGAAGTAAAGATTCTTGCGCTGTTGGACCACCCTAACATTGTTCGGTACTATCAAGCATGGCTGGAAAAGGTTGAGGAAAGCACAAATGGAACGTCGGTTGCATCGTCGGTTGTCTCCGACACGAGCTCAGTCGATGGACTCGCTGCTGGGGCAAATTACTCAACAAATAATCTTCTCGCACCGATCTCAGAGCTTGAGTTTCCAGGAGACCAACGCGACCTCGAGAGCTTCTACAGCGACGGAAGCGTGATCAGTGACAATGCCGATGATGGTGGGTTTGTCTGGGAACGTGAGACGTCTAGTATGGAAGGTGAGGATGGCTGGAAAGAAGAAGATCTGGTCGTGCAAAACAAGCCACGCATAAGCCACCTGCCTCCCCTGTGTGTCTTCGTCTTGCGCACCGGCTGCTCATGGTAGCGAAGACGACTCTTCGTGCAACGCGGTAGAAAAATGTGATCACTGGCTGTACATTCAGATGCAGTACTGTGCTGGCCGCAACTTGGCGGACTATCTGGCTGTTCCAAGCCGCCCGATGGAGTTGTCGAGAATGTTGAAGATCTTTGTGCAGATAGCAAGTGCACTTGCGCACGTACATTCGTGTGGACTGATTCATCGCGATCTGAAGCCAGCGAATATCTTTGTTGCCGACGTGGAGAGAGACGAGATTAAGTTGGGGGATTTTGGCTTATCGCGCTACGCTGCGAATGCAAGCAGCCTGAATGCCTCGACAAGTCTTGATGATCCCCAACAAGGATGTCTTTCCAATGGTGTGGGGGACACTCCTCTATCTATGTCGGTGCGGTCGAACATGTCGGAGAGTACTGAGGTGACTGCGGCTGTTGGCACGTATCTTTATGCAAGCCCGGAACAAGTCGCAGGGAAGAAGTACAACGCCAAGACGGACATGTACTCGTTGGGAATGATCCTTTTTGAGCTGTATCACGACCGCTTTGGCACGACAATGGAGCGATACATCACTCTCCGTGATGCCCGAGACAGTAAGTTCCCTGCTGATCTCCGCGCGACAAAGAGATGTCCTGAAATCCTAGACATGCTCAGCAAGTTGTTAAGTCACGACCCGAGTGCGCGACCAACAGCCGATGCAGTCGTTCAGTGGGGGCAAATGATGTACGAAACGAGCCTTGCTCAGAAAGCTATGGATGTTGTGCGGTCGCCGCGCAACCTAGGCATGATTCGAGCTGCAGCTGGTGCAAGCTTTTTTGTGCCGTGTATTGATCACTTCATGGTTGGCATCGGCGAAACAGTGGTTACGACCACGTTTTGTCTGAAGGTGGAGGCTGCGATGGAGCATTGCAATGGTGAGACTGGCGGCGAGCGACGTTTGCCGAACCATAATTTATTCCAGCAAATGTGCGATGTGATTGCCGGAGTTCACGATGGGAAGGTTGGGATCAAGAAGTGTGGATTGCACATGGAGAATGAGGGCGTGACGATTCTCGCGTTTGAGTTGGACCCACAGAGTGCTCTTCAAGTTTCGGGTAAATCTCTTAGGAGATAGACCCTCCATCATTTATATCGACCGTGCGTCATTGAGCACAGTCTTAAACAGTCCATATCTCTTGCAACGAATGGCGAGGTGGCTGTCTTTCTTCGTGGAGTACAACTTCTCCTTATAGTATAAACCAGGACGACTTAATGTCGTCGCTGACGCTCTTTCGCATCGGCCCGATTTCGAGCTGACTGCTCAAGCCAGCGGTAGGGGTGATACCGCTGTTGCAACACTAAAAGTGAGTGTTCCGTCGTCGAATACGCTCAACGACGTGCGAAAAGCATACGCAGAAGATGAGTCTCTTTTTGCAGTTGATGGATTATGTATCCAATCCATGCAGTCAAGCTTTGAAAATCTTGACGTCTTAATACCTCTTTCAACCGAACGATATTTTATTCATGATGGACTGCTTTACTATAAGCAGTCAAAGGCGACACACCTCGTGTCGTCGTTCTGGCTCATAATGATTTGCGATTGCGCATCATGTGTGAGTGTCACGATGCCCCGACAAGTGGGAATCGCAGTAAAAAGACTTACCTAATGGTGAGTCGTGACTTCTACTGGCCTCCCTAGTATGGGTTTGTGCGGAAATACATTTGCGCTTGCAAAATTTTGTCAACAGGTGAAGCCTAGTCCTTCATCCCGCGCACCCTTGCAGCCTCTATCGATTTCGGCAGAGTGTTGGCAGTCCGTATCGATGGACTTCGTCTTTGGGTTTACCAAAGACGTTCACGAGAATACTGGTATTCTTGTGTTTGTTGATCGGTTCAGCAAGATGGTACATCTTGTTGCTGTACCGGAGTCAATCACAGCCCAGGGATGTGCTCGTGTCTTCATTGATACTATCTTCCGACTTCACGAGCTACCCCGTGAACTCGTGTCTTACAGGGACACCCACTTCACAGCGGAGTTCTGGCAATCCGTGTTCTTTTCACTTGGAACACGATTATGAATGTCGGCTTCTGACCATCCTGAAACAATGGGCAAACGGAACGTGTTAGCCGCGTCCTCGAAGAGACACTTCGAGGGTACGTCCACTCGTTTGCGAGTTGGAGTGAGTTCTTGTCGATGGCGGAATTCGCCATCAACAACTCCGTGCAAGCGTCGACAACGCATACACCGTTCTTCGTGAATGGCCTACGCCATTCATGTTTACCCGCCTTCTTATAGTGTGACTCTAGTTTAAGGGGGGGAGCTCTCGAACAAAAACCGATCTGGTTCGTGCTCATCACCCGTAGACAATGGTGTCGACGTGTTGGTTGCCGATGTCGATGCAATCGATATCGATGATGATGATGACGACGATGCTGGTATATTCAGCATCGCCAATGACTGCCAAAGTGAGGAAGATGACACCCTCACTGGTGAAGACAACTTTCTTTAAGCAGTGTACACGAAGCAACACTGCTGTTAACAAGGACGAGTCAGCAGAGGGATTTCTACTGACTCACGAAGCGGTTGTCCGCCTCGTTTAAGACTCTATTGCAGATGCAATAGGTAAGCAGAAAAGAAACGCAGAAAAACATGAAAGAGCTAACGCTCTTTCATTCAATGCCGGAGACTTAGTTTCAATGTCAACAGTAAATCTACCAAGACACCCAGTGAAAAACGTGGGCAGCAGTAAACTAATGCCCAAGTACATCGATCTATTTCGTGTATTACACCGCAAGGGCAACGAATACACAATTGAACTGCCTCGTAGGATGCGTACGCACCCTACGTATTACGTTAGGAGTCTCCGCACGTACTATCAGTACGAGCAGTTTCGAGAGGCGAAGAGCACCTCCACGATCAAGGGCCAAGACCACCTTCGAGTGGTCCCGTTTCAAGCCAATCTTTTCGATAAAGCAAAGCGACCTACTCACGGAGCTGAGCGATGTCCTGATGAGCTGCAGTCAGCTCGTCACGAAGGGATCAAATGGAACGTTTGTTCTCAAGCAGCGCAAGCGCAAACATGGCACAATCGTTCGAACGATCGTACGCTAAGGATTTGTAATTGTCCTTTACAATGCCATGAAGCTCATAACGGCGGGCCCGATCACGAGCCAAGTCTTCGTGTAACTGATCCGTCACGCGGTTCAATTTTTGGACATCGAGCTTATCCGACCCTCGAGCCGGATCAGATGTCCCTGCCTCCACCACATTCTTTGGTGGATTCTGGCGGTGGTCAACGCTTCCTGGTGAAGGGTATTTTGAACCGCCGTGACGTGAAAGGCGTCCAGACGAGTCACCTCGTCTGCTGGCGCGGCTATCCACCGGCCTGGGGCAGCTGAGAGCCTCGCGCCCAGATGATTGTTGGTGATCTGGGTCTCCTTGCGCAATTTGACGAGACCCACCCTCCGCGTTGAAGATAGGCCGTCGGAAAACGACCTCTTAGAACGCAACTACAGGTATTGCAAAGTATGAATCTCTTCGGCCATCTCGGAAGAGATGCGCGCCCTCCAGTAGGAAAGAGGGAGTCAGGCCTCTCTAGGGGCACGATTAGCATTGTCCATGCACCTTGGATATGGATTGCCCCACGAGAGACAGGCTAAACCTGCCTCTCTTGACAGTCGGTGCAAATTTGTAGCTCACACCGTCTGAATTACGTTTTTCAAACCTGATGCAAGCTGCATCAAGTTTACCGAGCCAGGCCTCACGGCCAATGCACTCAATGCCATGAATGAAGGCATTCCATACCTGCATCAAGGCCTTACCTTCTCGGCCACGGTTTCTACTGTACTACAGATGTTTGAGGAGCGCATCGGTGTGGACTTCTTCCTCAACACGAACGGTTTCCGTGCTGGAATTGGGAGCACAGATCATCCTACATTTCAACAACGGGATTCGATCCCTTTCAGTGGTCATACCGGCCACTTGATCGAACTTCTTGGATGATGGCATCCATGGAAACTCCACTTGAGGAGCATGGTGCAGGGCATTGCGGTACCTGGACTCTTGTGTGGTGTTAGCATGAGCTCTGACACCAGTAGCAGCTCGATACCTCGAGTTGATTCTCTCGTGGTGACGTATAGGTGCGGAACCACCATCACCACGCGTCCTCGCGTCAGATGGACTTGTGTTAGACGAAGATTCATCAGACGAATCGCTCGGCCCGAAGATCTCGGACATGATACCGCCACGTTTCCCCGAGCCATTCTACCTGGATCTTGCAGTTTTGCCTCGGGTGACCCGGAGGCAGGAGGCGCCGCCTTGAGTAGAACCATGCATTCGACTCGCCAGAATAGATGATGCATATTTCAGGCTCATCAATATTTCTAGTCGCTGCACCCGCTTTAGACGCAGCGGATGTATCTGTCGCACATAACGGCTCACCCCGCGGACTTTTCACAACAGGCACTGCCTGTTGCTCACTTGCAACAGGAGGCGAATGAAAACCTGCTGCTGAGGCTTGAGAAGTTTACCTTGGCTGCACGCATGCGTGCAACCGTCTTTCTGGATGCTTCGGCTGCGCACCACATGGACTTTGACACCATGCAATGAATCGGCAAATGAGTTGAAATTTAACCAACAAGTGTCTCCCCTTTCCTGGAGTGACCCAAAGGTTATCACCATGTCCCCGATCAATTTAATTCAATTCACGGGGTGATTGATGGTTAAGGGGGTGGGTGTAGCAGGGTAGCCCGTTACATGATGTTGACACCAAACGGTGTCAAGAGTAGATCTTCCCGCGTGGAAATCTCCTGCCAATTTTATCCGAGATAGGTAATATTGAAGGAATACTATTCCTTGAGATAACATTCACGTACCAGTCGAAGCTTTGGTTGACAAAACACGTATCAACCATAGATCGCCACCAATCGCTGCTGGACGCGCGCAATGAATGGTGAGCAGGTTGTCGTCATACGACAATGTAGATGAATGTAGTTAGACAAAGACGGGATTTATATTGATAGCTTGACCATAT